TGAGGTGTCCCGAAGGTGCTGTTTCCTCGCTGGCCTCAGGCACTTGTGAGTTGGCTGTGGCCTTAGGGCTTAGCCTGGCCACATTGAGCAGGGGCACGTAGCTTCCAGACTCAGTGCCAAGACCTGCCCTCCTTCTGTCTCAGCGCTGTGTCGCTGCCGGCACTGGGGCTCCCAGCTCCTCCTCCCAGGAGTGCCACCTCCACGTCTATGACCACGGTGGGGCGGCTCAGGTCAGGAGCAGGCACTGCTCACCTGGGTCCCTGGACATCCTCCAGCCAGCGCAGGCTGCCCAGGTGCGAACCCACTTCCCAGGCTCCAGGCTGGGACCTGCAGAGAGGAGAGACAGCCACGGAGAAGCTGGTTGGAATGGTGGCCTCTCCAGGGGAGGAGGGAAGGAGACCAGAACCCCAGATTTGCCACATGGGGGCGGCAGCGGCTTGGGCTGGCCCCAGGCTGGCTGGCAGACACCTGGGCGGGTGCTTGGTCCCTGCTGCCCTCTAGTGGGCACCCGGAGCACTCCTGCGCTCCCGAGGGAGCCAGACCGCAGCATCTGAAGAGTTAACAGGAGAGAGGATTTCAGTGCCCCCCAGCTGAGACGTCTGTCCCAGAACCGAGGCAAGGCTCCAAGGCCCAGGGCTGGGGGCAGTAGGCACAGGACTCAGCGTAGGGCTCCTTACTCCAGAGGAGCCCCCCATTCTGCCAGGAGGTGCCCCTGGACCCCTCAGCCCTCGTTCCTTCCCCAACCCACAGACCGCAGGGGTGCACTCCCAGCCCCTCCCGGCCCTGCCCTGCAGCACCCTGGACCTGGCTGAGCTGGAGAGGATGATCACACGGGCGTCCGGGGCCCCTGCCAGCAGGTCTGCCAGCTCAGTTGCCTGGAGAACTGACATGGCAGCTGGGGGCCAGGCCCTCCCCATCGACACCTATGCCAGGTAGGCCCAGCCCCCACTGTGCACCCCCCCACCAGCCTGATCCTGGCTTCCTATGCCCCTGGCCCCATCCTGGGGTTCAGTCCCCTCTGATTTGTGCCATGGCACCCATCAGCTGCCAGAGCTGTCACAGGAAGGACACTCATGGTCCTAGGCTGAGACACAAAGGGAATTACTGGCCCAAGTCAGGGCCCCTAGTCCCTGACTAGGAGATGACTAAGAGCAGAGATGCCCCCACCCCCAAGCCCTGAGAGCCAGGCCCCAGAGCAGCACCGGAGCCTGCTGGCCTGGCCTGGAGACGTGCGCCCCCAAGGCTCGTGAGTCCTTCCACCTGCTCCTTGCCACCTGGGGGCCAGGTGAGGAGGCCGAGGCATCTGAGCTCTGCTGTTCGCCAGACACTAGTTAGGCAGCAGCTACCTCTCCAAGCCTTGCGTCCCTCACCTGTGAAATGGGAGCAGTGGCGTCTCCCTCATAAAGTTGTCATGCAGCCTAAGTGAGGTGACACCTATTTACCCTTGGCCCATGGCCAGCGTTTGGCCTATGGTCAGCGCCTGATGAAACTGAGTTAAATGTGCACCTCCAGCCCCTCCCAGAGCACGGCACGGAGGCTCCAGCACCACGGCCTGACTACTCTGGGGCCCTGATCACCAGAGCCAGTCACTAGCCAGGTCTCCTGACCCCTTGTGATTCCCCAGGCAGCCAAGCCCAGAGCCCTCTTCCCTCCACACTTCCCTCTAACCTGGCCCCTCTGACTCTGCGTGCACCTCCTCCCCAGGTGCACCTCCTGTCCCAGACCTACGGGGCCTGGGTCCACCTGGACGGGGCTGAGCTGATGCCCGTGGCAGTGGCCCTGCCTGTACTGCCCGTCCGCATCCTGGAGCCCTGTGACTCTGTGATAGAGGGAGACCCGTCTCTAAAAAAAATAGCCCAGGTGTGATGGCTCACGCCTGTAATCCCAGCACTTTGGGAGGCCGAGGTGAGTGAATCATGTGAGATCAGGAGTTCGACACCAGCCTGGCCAACTGTGTATATCATAAAGGGGAATAAACCCTATCTCTACTAAAAATATAAGAGTTAGGTGGGCATGGTGGCATGCATATGTAATCCCAGCTACTCTGGAGGCTGAGGGAGAACTCCTTGAACCCGGGAGGCAGAGGTTGCAGTGAGCCAAGATTGTGCCACTGCACTCCAGCCTGGGCAACAGAGTGAGACTCTGTCTCAAAGTAAATAAATAAAATATTCTAGGCTGGGTGTGGCAGCTCATGCCTGTAATCCCAGCACTTTGGGAGTCCGAGGTAGGCAGATTGCTTGAACCCAGGAGTTCAAGACCAGTCTGGGCAAGATGGCAAAACCTGTTTCTACTAAAAAGTACACAAATTAGCCAGATGTGGCAGCACGCACCTGTAGACCCAGCTACATGGGAGACTGAGGTGGGAGGATCGCTTGAGCCCAAGAGGTGGAGGTTGCAGTGAGCTGAGATTGTGCCATTGCATTCCAGCCTGGGTGACAGAGAGAGATCCCATCTCAAAAAAATAAAAAATAAAATATTCAAGGAATTATAAGGCAAGATAAAAAATTTGTCAGGAAACTTGAAACTATAAGAAGGCCACATGGAAATTGTAGAACTGAAAAATATGATAAGAACCCAGTGGCTAGGTTTAATAGTAGATGAGACACAGCTGGAGAGAGAATTAGTGAAGAGGGAGAGATAAATCAAGAGAAAATATCCAGACAAACAAAAAGTGGTTCTTTGAAAATGGTAATAAAATTGATAAACCACAAATAAAACTGATCAAGAACAAGATAAAGGAAGTATAAATAATTTGTAATAATATTAAAAAGAATAAAGAGGCTGGGCATGGTGGCTCACACCTATAATCCCAGCACTTTGGCAGGCCAAGGTGGGTGGATCACCTGAGGTCAGGAGTTCAACAACAGCCTGGCCAACATGGCAAAACCCTGTTTCTTTTTTTTTTTTTTTTTTTTTGAGACGGAGTTTCGCTCTTGTTACCCAGGCTGGAGTGCAATGGCGCGATCTCGGCTCATCGCAACCTCCGCCTCCTGGGTTCAGGCAATTCTCCTGCCTCAGCCTCCTGAGTAGCTGGGACTACAGGCATGCACTACCATGCCCAGCTGATTTTTTGTATTTTTAGTAGAGACGGGGTTTCACCATGTTGACCAGGATGGTCTCGATCTCTTGACCTTGTGATCCACCCGCCTCGGCCTCCCAAAGTGCTGGGATTACAGGCTTGAGCCACCGCGCCCGGCTGCAAAACCCTGTTTCTACTAAACATACAAAAATTATCTGGGCCTGGTGGTGTGCACCTGTATTTCTATCTACTCAGGGGGGCTGAAGTAGGAGAATTGCTCGAACCTGGGAGGTGGAGGTTGCAGTGAACTGAGATCCCACCACTGCACTCCAGCCTGGGCAACAAAGCGAGATTCCATCTCAAAAATAATAAAATAATAAAAGCTACCTATATTTTTATTATGCAAGAATAACCATTAATATTTTTTGTTTATTTCATTCTGGATATGTATATATGTATATGAATCTGTGTGTGTATTAAGATGGGAGATGTACAATCACATCAGTGCTTTGCAAAGCCCTTAATAGGAATCCCAGAAGGAGGATTTGTTTTAGAATGGTCAAGTAGAGACTTCAGCTTAAGAGTGTTAACTCTGAGATCCCAGAAGAGGTGGTTAAGAAGCTGCCAGGAATACAAACGCCAAGCTCAGGGGAGGGCTTGGACTGGAGGCACAGCTTTGAGAAACCACAGCATTGGGGAAATCCTGGACTTCAGCGAGTGTGAGGAGAGAAGAGTCCATGTGACAGACAAAGGGGAGCCTCCCTCTGTCCCTCCTCTTAGAAGAATCTAGATCCATACTCTGGGAAGATCCAGTATACAGGGGCTCCCAGGGCCCCAGAACTGCTCTTCTGTGCCTGAGAAGGTGGTAACTCACAATCAAAAGAAAGCCAGCAACTCTAAACCCCTGTAATCCCATGTCTCCCATACTGCCCTGTCTGGGGCAAGTACCAGCAAAAGTGCACTTTATACACACACACACACACACACACCATACACACACAGACACACAGACACACACATACACACAGACACACAGACACATACGCACACATACACACACACACATTTTTGAGACGGAATCTCACTCTGTCACCAGGCTGGAGTGAAATGATGCAATCTCGGCTCATTACAACCTCTGCCTCCCAGGTTCAAGTGATTCTTCTGCCTTGGCCTCCAGAGTAGCTGGGATTACAGGCATGCACCACCACGCCCAGCTAGCTTCTGTATTTTTAGTAGAGATAGGGTTTCACCATGTTAGCCAGGATGGTCTCCATCTCTTGACCTCATGATCCGCCCACCTCCGCCTCCCAAAGTGCTGGGATTACAGGTGTCAGCCACTGCGCACGGCCGAATGGTGCATTATATTGGTTATCCATTGCTGCATAACAAATGATCCCAAAACATAGTGCCTTAAAGCAACAATCATTATTTCCCATAGCACTGTGGGTTAGGAATTGGAGAGTGGACTGGGTGTGGTGGCTCACGCACACCTGTGGTCAATCCCAGGACTTTGGAATGCCGAGGCAGGCAGACTGCTGGAGCCCAGAAGTTTAAAACCAGCCTGGCCAACATGGTGAAACTCCGTCTCTACTAAAAATACAAAAATTACCTGGTGTGGTGGTGGGCGCTTGTAATCCCAGCTACTCGGAGGCTGAGGCAGGAGAATCACTTGAACCCAGGAGGCCGAGGTTGCAGTGAGCCAAGACTGTACCACTGCACTCCAGCCTGGGTGACAGAGCAAAAACTCCACCTCAAAAAAATAAATAAATAAAGGTAACCAGGTGTGGTGGCTCATGCCTGTGGTCCCAGCTACTAGAGACGATGAGGTGGGAGGATCGCTTGAGCCCTGGAGGGCAGAGCCTCAGTGAGCTGAGATAGAGCCACTGCTCTCCAATCTAGATGACAGAATGAGACCCTGTCTCCAAAAAAAAAAAAAAAAAAAAAAAAAAACAAAAAAAAAAAAAAAAAAAAAAAAAAAAAAAATGGGTGGGGAGAGGCAGAATTTGGGAGTGGCTTACAGCCGGAAAGTTCTGGCTTGGAGTTTCTCTTGAGGTTGCAGTCAAGACCTCAGCGAGAACAGCATTATCTGAATTATCTCTTGCAGGTGGTGCGCTCACACAGCTATAACACGGCTGCTCCTGTTGGCGGAGGCCTCAGTCCTGTCCACGTGAGCATCCCCTCGGGGCTTCCTGACTGTCTCCACAGTCCGATGGCTGGCTTCCCCTAGCATGAGCAGTCTCAGAGACCAAGGCAGGAGCTACCTTTTTATGATCTCCTCACCTGCTGCCACTTCCTACTTGACACCCAGTCAGCTCTGACTCAGTGTGGCAAGGCCTACAGAGGGCTGAGCACCAGGAGATGAGGACAGATGGGGGCTCTCCTGGGGGTTGCCTACTACATTAATAAATGCTGGTTGGGCATAGGGCCTGAGCTCATGAGAGGTCCCTGGCTTAAAGAGGTCAGGCCCCTGATGGGGGCACCCACCATGTGATGTAGATAAACCTGCCAGAGTGGGCTGCAAGTGGGCCCAGGACCGGGTGGAGCTGGGCCGTCCCTGGAGAAAGGGCTTTGCTGTGGTGAGAGGAGGAAGAGCCTTCAATGCCGGGGGCAGGGGCCTCTGAGTCAGGGCTTGTCTCTGGCTTGTCTCGTCTGTCTCTGGCCCATGCAGTCATTTATACACACGCACCCAGAACACCTCTGGATGGACAGACATGCACATAGCTGGTGACAGTGTTTACTCTCCTTTGCACTGTTTGTGACACATGGGCATGTGTTACCTATTTTTTTGTTTGTTTTTTTAAAGATGGGATTTCACCATGATGGCCAGGCTGGTCTTGAACTCCTGACCTCAGATGATCCACCCACCTCGGCCTCCCAAAGTGCTATGATTACAGGCGTGAGCCACTGTGCCCGGTCTATGTTACCTATTTTGAAAAGTTCTAAGAAAAATCAAAGAAAGAGGGCCACTTGGGCCAGTGAATCCAACTGTGGGAACCACCATTGCAAGAGGATTTGGTGCACAGGCTGTCTCCTCTTACCATAAATAATGCAGCACCATTTGAGCCTGATGTCATGTTGTCTATTCCCAGTGACCTTGAACCATGCACTGTCTCTTCCCAGGGAGGAGGCATTCATCCGCCGGTTAATCCCAGCTGCAAAGCCTGACACTCAGAGAACCGTGAAAACAGACGGAACCCCTGGGCCAATCACTGTGGAGACTAGCCAGAGAGTGAGGGAGTCAACTGGCCAATCAGAGGGTCAGGAACACTTACTGGCCAATCAGAGCATGAGGGGCATCACCTGGCCAATCAGATAGTGGAGTCAATTAGCCAATCAGAGTGAGGGAGTCTACTAGCTAACCAGAGAGTGAGGGTCAGCCAATCAGAGGATGAGGGATGTGGCTGGCCAATCAGAGAGTGAAGGAGTCGCGTGGCCTGGCTGAGTTCCACACCCACCAGAACACGTGTAGGCAAGGTGGGAGGGTCGATTCTGGAGGGGAAAGGGCAAGCAGCGCATCCTTCCCCCCCACACACTCTCAGGGAACTCTGGTGATCCCAGCAGCCCCTGGTGTGTCTTCTCCAGTGTCATATCCCCAGAGCCCAAGCCCATCTGCCATGAGAGGCCTGAAGTTAGGCAGTCACCCCTAGCTTCCCAGGAAACCCCCAGGAGAAGCCTCCTCAACAGAGACTGGGGGCCAGGAGGAGAGGAAGAGCCCTCCCACACCTTTCCTCCCAAGCTGAGAGGATATGCTGAGGAAGCCAGCCCCCGTTTCCAACACAGAGACCCAGGGACCCCCCATTGCTGTGCTGACCTCGGAATAAGAAGTAGTCCTACTCTGTCCGCAGATGACTTCACGGTGGACACAAACACGCACGTGGACACTCACACGCACTCGTTCACGGAACACCTCTGGATGGACAGACAGCTGGTGACAGTGTTTGCTTGCCTTTGCGATGTTTGTGATAGACGGGCATATGTTACCTATTGTTAAAAGTTCTAAGAAAAATAAAAGGCTTATATGGCACACAGCACAAGTGATTCATGTAAGGACAAACTGGCACAATGTTCCCACATGGAATGGTAAACTTTCTTTTTTTTTTTTTTTTTTAGATGGAGTTTCACTCTTGTTACCCGGGCTGGAGTGCAATGGCGTGATCTCGGCTCACTGCAATCTCCACCTCCTGGGTTCAGGCAATTCCCCTGCCTCAGCCTCTTGAGTAGCTGGGATTACAGGCACGTGTCACCATGCCCAGCTAATTTTTTGTATTTTGAGTAGAGACGGGGTTTCACCATGTTGACCAGGATGGTCTCGATCTCTTGACCTCGTGATCCACCCACCTTGGCCTTCCAAAGTGCTGGGATTACAGGCGTGAGCCACCGTGCCCGGCCGGAATGGTAAACTTTCAAACACCAGGAGGAAGAGGAGGCCCCACTCACCACACAGCTTTGTCCTCACTGGGCCCCACCAAAACTGTGTCACCCCCTTCAGCCCCCAGGAGCTTCCTTAACCTTTGAATCAATAAAGAGACCTAGGGGCGGGGCGGGGTAGGGGGGGCAGAGAGACCAAACCAAGAGAGGCCACCACCTTCCCTAGCACAGCTCTCAACTTGGGAAGGGCCCCCAAACCCCAAACAGACCACCACACAGGCCCTGGGAACCCTTCTGCAGCTGCCTCAACTGTCCATCTGCATAACGGTGGGCGTGCCCCAGCCTTTGTGGCCCCAGGCGACTCAAGTGTGTGAGAACTGTCTCCCCCTGGGACCAGCAGTGGGCCTACAGGCCTGGGCCTGCAAGCTGAGCCCCTCCTACCTATGGTTCTGCCCTCCATTTAACAAGCCTGGATCTCAAACTGCAGGCCCAGCCCTGCACCACCCTAGGCAGCCCTGGCCACTGTGGCCAATAAGCCCCCTCAGCCACGTCTACTTTGAGGCAGGCAAGGAGTGGTCCCAAACTCCTTCACCATGGAGTGACACACCCACCCCACCCTTCTGGGACTTCCACCTCTGTCAGCTCCACACCTCCCCCAGGTTGCTGCAGAGAGGAAGGGTTGGGGCCAGAAGCAGCAGTGGCCTGTCCCAGGACAAGAACAGAGGTCTGTGCGCCTGCTCTGCCCGGAAGCGCTCAGTGAAAAGTACCTAGCAGGCTTGAAGACACGGGATGGGGCGGGGGACACATCTGGCTTGGTCCGATCCTCGCCCCCCCACACCTGCAAATTGCAGGGGCCTCTCATGCCTTCTTCTCAGCTCTTACCCACCAAGCCTGCCCTCCCGGGAGAGTGGACAGAACAGAGGCCTCGGAGGCCACGGCCTGAGACGGCATCTCTCTGGCTCCAGGTGATCTGGGTGAGTGTCTCTGCCGCTCTGGGCCTCCGTCTCCCCCTCTGTAAAATGGATGTAGGATTGTGATATTGTGCTGGACTAGAGCCAGAACCTGAGCAATGCCATTTTTATAAAATGCAAAACTGTGTTTTAAATAAGTTGTAACGGCTGCGCCATTCTCCTCACAATAACTGCTGGTCTTGGCTTCTGTAAATAGAGCCGCTAGTTTGTTCTGCAAACTATGTAAAGCTGCTTGCCTTTTCTTATAGGTAACTGTCAGAATTGCTAGCCTTTGCTTACCGGTAATAACTAAAATAAGCAGCCCAGCTTAATTCCATCCTGGCTCCTGTGACTTGTAACAAGTAACTAAGATCTGTGACTTCTATCACCACCCGGACAATGTGTAAACAAATGTGTGTCTTGACTTCTGTAAACCACTGAAGTAACAAACAGAAGGACAAAAGTCCCCTGGCCCTTGGAATGTCCGGAGACCCCCACCCTCGTCTCCGCCCAGGAGGTGAATCACAGAATCCCCTGGCCCTTGGAATGTCAGAAACCTTTTCATCCCCATCCCCGCTCCTCACCCCCACTCCCAAGGTGGTTTTTCGGGTATAAAAAGTCTTGGCACCCTCCTTTCGACGCCACAGGTTGGAGAGATGTGAGTCCTCTGTGGTCGCCGGCATAATAAATGACCCTGTCATTTATTATGCAATCTGGCATACTTTTGTCTTGGTGCTAACTTTCTACGCTCGGTCCAGTACAACAGGATATCCATTCAGTAGGGCTACTGCGGGACTGGAGAGTAGCATGGCACCCAGCGCTGAGGCATTTAACAGACACCTCCTTTTCTCCCAGGGACATCTCGGGAATGGAGGCAGCACTGGCTCTTGTGCCTGCAGGGGGAGAGGCGAGTTCAGGCCACACCCTTGACAGGCACCCCCATCCAACTCTGCCTCACCTGGACCACTTACTTCCTCTTTTCTGAACTCTTCTCATCACTAAGGGGCAGTTAAACCAGTTAGTCCAGGGCAGGGGAGCCTCCCCAAATATCTAGGGAGACACACAAGGAGCTGGATTCTTGGCTCTGCCCCCACCCCTTTTTACCTCCAGGGCTCCTTCCTGGCCAGGACCCCAGCCAGGCCCAGGGAAGGGATTTCCAGCCTCTCATGGGGGCCCTGGCCCTGACCGCCCAATCCCAGGACGTACAAACGGAAGCTCAGCCACCTCTCACCTCTCCCCCACCTGCTGGGGACTCAGATGACCACAGAGTGGGGTTCTCAGCGGCTGAGACCAGGAGGGCTCCGCTGAGGGCCTCCGAGGCACAGGAGCCCCAGGCCAGGGCCAGGGACCAGCTGAAGCTGACGTGAACACCCTGCACATGCTTCGGGCCGTGCTGCCGTGCAGTCTCCGTGAAGGCCAGGTATGCATACCTGATGTAGATGCTGACCCCTGCCAGGGTCGGGGCACCTGGGGGAGAGATGGGAGGGCAGCTGCTCTGTGTCTGCTCTGACGGGCCCAGGTGGTCCTGCAGACATGGCTTCGAGCCCCGACTCCACTGGCATTCAGGCAGAGCTGCAAGCCGCCCACCACCCTTCCTGTGCTGGTGACTCTCCCAGACACCCCTCCTGCTTGGGTCTGCACAGGGCTACAGCTGCTCAGCTGCATGCCGGGGAGTGGAGCTTTAAGAGGCTCCAATTCAGTCCTCAAACCCCAGAGACCTTACCCTGCAAAGCCTCCTTGAAACAGCACCACCTGCCCCTCAACATGGTTCCTGCTCACAGAACTGCCCCCCACACACCCTGCACCCTCCATGGCCCCCAGCACACATACACACGCACAGACATACACGTACGCATTTGCACATATGCACACACATACACGTGCATACGCCTGTACACATTCACAAACATGCACATACATGCACACACCTGTACACATTCCAACACACACACACATGTACACATGCACACACCTGTACACATTCCAACACAGGTACACACGTACACATGCACACACCTCTACAGTCACACATGCACACACGTACACATTTGCACACATGCACACACCTGTACACATGCACACACGTACACATTTGCACACATGCACACACACAAACACACCTGTACATATTCACACACATGCACACCTGTACACATTCACACATGCACACCTGTACACATTTGCACACACCTGTACACATTCACACACATGCACACACACAGCCATGGCCTCTGCTGGCAGCAGGGTTGCCCAGAGCTCTGACCAGAGTCCCTACCTTGCACTCCCGGCCTCCTCTTCCTGACACCTTCCCTACCTCTGGGGCTAATGTCCCCCTGCCTCTGACTCTCCTTCCAGTGTCCCCTGTCCTCCCAGCTCTGAGTTCGGGCCCTTCCTCAGGGGAGGATGCCTGCCCTGGGCTCTCCTAGCTCCTCCCTCCTGCTCTCCACAAGGTCAAAACTGTTGTCAAAGGAATGAAGCCAGCTCTGCACAGGGTGGCGGGTGCCAGGTTTCATCCGGCAGTTCAGGGTCCAGCAAAGAGCTGGGCAGGGGCCTTGGCCGGTGCCTCCAGGGTGTTTTCCTGTCTACTGGGCTTGGAGGAACTGGCCCAAACTGCCACCCCCTTCCCACAGCTTCCGGCTGACGAGAAAGACTGTCCTTGGTGCCAGCTGTAGGGAATGTTAGCTGGTGGGCAGGTGGCCCTGACTTCCCCCCAGGCACTTCCTGGGTGCACAGGGTCCCCTCTGGGTACTACCCAGCCAAAAGAAGACAACAGCCCCAAGCTGATGCTCAGGGCCAGGTCCAGATCTCACTGATGCCCAGAGAAGGGGCACAGCCCAGCCTGCTCTTCTGCAATTCCTCCTGGAAACCAAACCTGGGAAGAAGAGAGGGAGAGAGAGCGGGAAGAGAAGACGGAGGGAGGCCGAGGGACGGAGGACACGCGGCGGCCGGCCCGGCGGGCAGTGCAGCGACAGAAAGGACGGGTTTAATTTGGGGAAGAATGTGAAGCCAAATTGAATGAAATGGGCCCTGGGAGCAGCAGGGGTGGGGTGACCCAGCCCCAGCAGTGGAGGCTGACCACGCGGTGGGAGGTGCCTGTCCCTGCCTGTTGCACGGGTCTCAGCTGCAGCCCAGGGCCCCACTTCCTGGCAGGCTGCCCACCAGCTGAGCCCTCTCCAAACACCAGCTGCCTCCTCTAGCCTGGAGGAGGACATGGCCTTTCTCCCAAAATGAAGGAGAAGGGTAAGCTGGGACCTGAAGCACCTCCCGACTCCCAGTGAAAGGGCCTGGGCTCAGCTCCCGGCGGGCCTCTCTCCCAGCCTCCCGCCTCCCACCTCCTGAAGGAGGCCTCCCCAGCGGGCGCCTGCAACCTCAAGCTGGGCAACTCTAGAGAACTCTGTCACCCCAGGCCCTGTCGTCCCCCAGGCTCCCCATGATCCTATCTCAGGGAAGGGCGCTCAATCCATCTGTGAACCCCCATCTCCCTCCACATACTTGCAGTGCTAGTGAGGGGTGAGGGGCGGGCTGACCCTAGGTAGGTGCCCTTGGTGTGATATCCTGAGAGCCCTCTGCTTCGGCCCACAGCAGACCCTTATTCTCAGAGTGGAGGCCCCTCTGCCTGGGGAGGCTGGAGTCCCAGTGGAGCCCCCACCCACCCACCAGCTGCCTCCAGACCCTCTGCCCCCTAGCTGGTGCCTTCACTCCCACGCAAAACACAGACACTACGCTCTCCATCACCATCTCCCGGTTACAACCCTAACCCCGTCCCTCCCGTCACCATCTCCCTGTTACAACTCCACCCCGATCACTCCTGTCACTGGCTCTCCAAGGTCCTCTTAATTGGATTCTGAAAACTCACAGGTGGGCCCAGGGTCAGGTCATTTGGATTCTTCCTGATTTCACTGTCTAGAGGAGACCTTGGCTTCAATGTTGTCCTCCTGCGGCCTGTGACCAGCACCAAGGCTGCTGGTTTCCTCAATCTCTGCTCCCAACTGGGCCTCCTCAGTGACAGAGGCCTCCCCTAAAGCCCAGAGAAGCAGGGAGGGCGCCCCCAGCCGTGGGCAGTCTGCTCCTTGTGGCCACAACCTTGATGGTGGAGCTGGCCTGAGACGCAACCAGGCCTGGCTCAGGCTGGCCCTGGATGACAGAGGTGGCTGAGGACGGGCTGTCAGGAGCCCCCAGTCCATCTTCAGGCACAGCCAATGCTGGGCAGTTGGTGGAAACTGAGGAGACGGCACCGGCAGGGGTGGAGGGGAGCCCAGGACCTCATTGGCCTCGGCCCTCTCCAGGCCTCGCAGCTCTCACTTGTAGCTGGGACTGGGGGGCCTTCGGAGGAGCACATGGCCCAGCACCTGGCAGGCAGTGGGAGCTGGAGCCATGTCAGCTGCTGGGTGGTTACTGGTTACGGTCTCAGCTTATGCTGGGGTCAGTGCTGAAGCCTCTGGTGCCCCGTCCCACTTGCCTTTATTCCTGGCCCTGCCTCGTCTGTGCCAAACCCCCGTGCCCTTGCTCCTCCCAGCAGGACAGTCTGGGAAGGAGAAGGCAGTGATGAGGGGCTTTCCCCAGGCCCCCAGCATGATCTGATGCAGCAGAGCAGACCCTGGCTTGCCCTGGAGGCCCTCATGCCCGCCATGCCGAGAGCCTTGGACCCTGGTGCTCCTCCCTGCCCCAGGCTCTGACCCAGAAGCCCTGCTCCTATCATGGTGCTATGGTTTGGTGCCCGGCCCAAATCCCATGTTTAAAAGTATGCTGCACCTCCCCACTCTCTCTTCCTCCTGTTCCGGCCATGGGAAACGCTGGCTCCCCACCTCGGCCTTCCACCCATGATTGTCATTTTCCTGAGGCCTCCCCAGAAGCCGAGCAGATGCCAGCACCATGCTTCCCCTACAGCGTGCGGAACCATGAGCCAATTAAATCTCTTTTCTTTATAAGCCCAGCTAATTTTTGTATTTTTAGTAAAAATGGGGTTTCACCATGTTGGTCAGGCTGGTCTTGAACTCCTGACCTCAGGTGATCCACCCACCTCAGCCTCCCAAAGCACTGGGATTACAGGCGTGAGCCACTGCGCCTGGCCTAAACCTCTTTTCTTTATAAATTACTCAGTCTCAGGCATTTCTTTATAGCAATGGAAGAACGAATACACATGGCTAACTTCTGGAACACAGGGAGCTGCCTGCCACGGCTCCATCCCCAGATCAGCGCCAGTCCAGAGGGGAGCAGGGGACAAGGGCAACAGAAGAAGCAGCACCCACTCCCAGGACCTATGGCCCAGCCCCCATCTTTGAAGCCACTCCCCCAGGGCCCCAGACTCACTCCCCAACAGGAAGCAGCAGCAGGTGAAGAGCGGCAGAGGCTCTCTCTGGGCCAGGGAGCTGAGCAGTCCGCAGATCCAGCCGCACGCGAGGAGCAGCTCAGGGGCAGGACCACCATGACTGCGCGGTGCAGCGCTGCGGGAGAGGGGGCTCATGTGAGAGGGTCCCCGTGGGCCCTTCAGCACCTGTGTGCCGGAGGACAGTGACCTGCTGTTCCACCTTCTAGGAAAAGCAGCTGGCACTCCTCTCTGTGAAAACCAGGGGACCCTCCCAGTGGCCCCCTCTCACCCTGGCAGGGGCTTCCTGAGTCCAGGAGAGGGAGTTGTCCCCAACACCCTCCCAACCCCCATCCCGGAGCCTCACATGTCCCCCAACCCGAAAGGTGAGAGACGCCAGCCAGGTAGACAACAGCTCATCTCGAAGAGTCCTAAATGGGGAGCCGGGAGTCTGCAGGGCCCACAGGATCCAGCCACGCTTGGAGCTGCCTGGTTTCCCCAACAACAAAGGAGTGAGCGTCGCCACTGAGAGGGAAACTGAGATAGGGGAAGAACAGGACAGGCTGGGAGCAGGGCCCCTGTGGTTAGGGACAGCAGCACAGCACCGAGAGAGGTACGCGTGGAAACCTCCTGGGGGAAATGTAGGGGCCAGTGGAAGCAATGCTGTGGGGTGGGGATGGGATGGCTGGGATCCAGCCTTGCCTGAATATTCGGGAAGGAAGGGAAGGGGGCCCCACCCAGGACTCACAGATGAGGTGCTGCACCGAGGTGGAGGTGGAGGCATCCAGGCTCTCGCTGGCGAAGGTATGCAGCTGTTCTGCCCTGGGAAACAGAAGACTCAAAGCCTGGGGCCCGGACGCTAGGGGCACTCAGCAGCCCACCCGATCCCAGGGGACCCCCCAGCACCACAGGGCCCTGCCATATTCTCTCTCCTGCTGAGACTCAGAGCTGAGACTCCAAGTGGGATGAAAGGCCTGAGACATTTCATCTTAGTTATTTTCACGTGCATGTGACGCCTGCACAGATGCATGTTTAAAATTTTTTTTTTTTTTGAGACGGAGTTTCACTCATGTTACCCAGGCTGGAGTGCAATGGCGCGATCTCGGCTCACCGCAACCTCCGCCTCCCGGGTTCAGGCAATTCTC